ATTTGATGTGCAGTGGTGGCATCAGCACCTTCGGGGTCCACCAGTGGCTCCCACTTGACGTTGTTCCTCCCACAGAGAACTCGGTCCACTGTGGCCAGTCCCGCCTGTGGTAGTGCGTCTTGGTGTTTAAATCTTTTGTAGTAATTTTTTATTACTTTAGTATAAATACATATTAATTTTGATTTATATGTTCTTTTTTTCTGACTTTACGTGAACGAAAAGACACATTCGCCCGTTTTCTCATTGGAAATAGGTACATTTCAAAATATCAATGTCCTGGTCACATAAGCAAAGTTTCTTGGCAATAATAGCCATTTTCTGTACTTTTGAAGCATACGCAATTAGGAAATAACACGTACTACCCAGGACCAAAAAAAATTGTTACAGTTTTATAATCGCACGTCAATGGACTATTCAGAATCGGAAGTTTATTTCCTGCTGAGTAAAGCCCATGGAGCTGATGGACAAATGATTGGCAGCTGTTGTTGGTGGTGGTGCTGGTGCACCTAGCCTGGTACAACTTGTGGTGCATCTACCGGTCATCTCAGTCAGCCAACCCACGACACATGGGTCTGTCCCGAGACCTCCTGCACCTAGCCTGGTACAGCTTGTGGTGCATCTACCGGTCATCTCAGTCAGCCAACCCACGGCACCTGTGTCTGTCCCGAGACCTCCTGCACCTAGCCTGGTACAGCTTGTGGTGCATTTACCGGTCATCTCAGTAAGCCAACCCACGACACCTGTGTCTGTCCCGAGACCTCCTGCACCTAGCCTGGTACAGCTTGTGGTGTATCTACCGGTCATCTCAGTCAGCCAACCCACGACACCTGTGTCTGTCCCGAGACCTCCTGCACCTAGCCTGGTACAGCTTGTGGTGCATCTACCGGTCATCTCAGTCAGCCAACCCACGGCACCTGTGTCTGTCCCAAGATCTCCTGCACCTAGCCTGGTACAGCTTGTGGTGCATCTACCGGTCATCTCTGTCAGCCAACCCACGGCACATGGGTCTGTCCTGAGACCTCCTCCTGTCAGCGAGTCTTCAACACTTCACGTGGCCTCAAAGTGCACCTAGCCTGGCACAGGCGCCATGGTGACGTCAGCGTCACTTGGTGTCGAATGGCGGGGTTATTGGTATGTTGGTGCTGGTGGTGCTGGTTGTAGCCTCAGAAGCAGTGGCGTTGCGGCTAACGGGGCGCGCTATGGACCTGGCCGCCCGAGTCCCGCACAAGGCCCCAACACAGGTGACGATTATCCGAACAGGTCCTGGGCCTCCTCTAGGTCGACTCGGCCTCAAATGAGCATCTGGTGCTCTGTGTAAACGCTGCTACTCTGGAGACACGGGCGGCCGGGCGTGGTGGTGCTGGTCACCCACACTCTCGTGTGCCGTGCCGGCCTTCGTAGGTGCTACTCGCTAACAGCACTTGCCCCTCCCCCCCCCCCCCCTTCAGGCTGTTAAGGCTATACGGGGGATCTTTATCTTTGTGCGCGTAGTAATGGGATCTGGGATTGGGTAAACGGCAGAGTCTTTGTGTCGGAGAGCGAGCAGCATCAATAATGCAGGGTGTACTCCATTACGCTCTCGTACACACACACACACGCACTGCGGACGTGTGACTGTGCGTGAGCGTGTGCGTGCGTGTGTGTGTGTCGCACGACGCTGCCGTGCCGGCCAGGAGTTTTATTACTATATATGTAAGTGATTGTTTACCTTTCCTATTCTTTGCACTCCTATCGTGGTTTTTTTGTATTGTTTGTAGTTATAACGTTCTGACCCGCCCCTACTGAGTGTGTGTGAAAAAAGAGCTTCATAGCTCATCAGATTCCTCCAGTATAAATAGATATATTTCTGATTCATAAGCGATCGCTGACAGCACTTGCCCCCAACAGTCTGTTAAGGCTGTACGGGGTGGTATTTGTATCACATCGCACAACGTGGTGTGTATCACCCTACCCATGCAGTGAGTACTCTGTGTGGTGTGATGTGCGTCTCTGTAACGTACGTATAAGCAAAGGCGGCCCGGCGTGGTGCTGGCCACCCACCCCCTCGTGTGCCATGCCGGGCCTTCATCGGTGCTGCTCGCTAACAGCACTTGCCCCAACGGTATGTTGAGGCCATACGGGGGATCTTTATCTCTTGTAATGAGCAGAGTGTCGCGTGAGTGCCCCTACGTGGGCATTTGTATAGGAAACGGTGGCCACAGAGGGATGCTTTGGTAATCGTCATCATGGCTGTAATCACCACTGCCAGAGTCCGTTTTGTCTCGATGATCGCCGCATTGTCAGAATCCTCCGCATCGCCTTCGCCGCCATCATTTTAACGTCACTGTCGTTCTCATCGTGGCCCCCGACGTTAACGCCGCCGCCGCGTGCTCGCGCGCGCGTGCGTGTCGCGCAGCGCGCTCGACCGTCGCGCCACCGCTCGCCGTATTTATGCGTCCAGCAAGTCCTCGTCTTAACGCGCCAGCGGCGGGCGCGTTCCTGAAAAGTGCCGCCCTCGTTTAGCGAAAACGTTTCCCCGTAACTTAATGTGAGCACGGTGACGTTTGGGCGAGATACGGCGCACCGCTACACGCGGCGAGATGGCGGGACGAGTAACCGAGGCTGCGCTGCCGCCGCCTCCGCCGCCGTTGCCGTATCGCCGTGTCGTGCCGCTCGCAGCCGTGCAGCTCAAGAAAGTAGTTCCTCGTCGGCTGCTCAGAAACCACGGGATAACGGTGCGCGCGATAACGGTGCGTTATGACGCGTTGTAACGGCGTGCGCGTGTCCCGTGTTACAGCGTCTCGCGTTGTAACGGCGTGCGCGTGTTCCACACGGTGCCAAGAGTGTTCCCGAATGGGAGAACGGCGTTCCAGAGAAAACGCGTTGGTATCGTGTGAACACCGCCACGCGTTTAAGCGAGGACTCGCGCCTTTGCACGCGTACACACACGGAAGAATTTCAGAACCCTGGTCGTCGGCTGCGCTGTTCAGCACCCTGGTCAGCGACCGGGTCATGAACCCTCTCTTGGGGCATCTTCACGGCCAGGTCCCAGGCCAGGCTGCCAAGTCGGTTTTAACACGTCGGCTTTTGCGACCAAATATCATCCATGACCTCTATTGTGCAGGCTGCTAAGTGTATTTAAATGATCGTTTTACAAAGCTATAAACTAAACTATTTAGTTATGCCAGCTAAGGTCTACTGAGCCATGTAGTTCTTTTTCAGTAGCGACCTGGCCACAAATGATTGCTCAAGCAAGTGGCTTATCATCGTCACGGGGAAATTCACAGCAGTGGCCAAATACTCTGAACGCGTGACGTTGATTCTAAACGTGGAGGAGGTGGAAGCAAAACGGAGGTCCCGGAGAGAAAAAAATCCACGCGGCCATGGGGAGAGAGACCACACGCAAACTCAAAATATACAAACGGGCATCGTCAGGGTTGGGATCGAACCCATGACCTCCTGCATACCAGGCGAGGGAGACAACATCTCCTAGCCACCGCGCTTTTATTCAACAGCGACGGCGGTCTTGGTCAGAAGGGGCCGGCGGGTACGGCGTCACGACCAGCGACCCACCACCACCCCCCTCCCCTCTGTCCGCGTGGCGTTATGTCCAATCGATCCAACGACGAACACGACTCTTCCGGGGCCGTCCGAATATTTTTTTTCAGATTTCTTTTTTAAACATTCAGACTTAACGTGAAAATCGGCGGCACGTTCCCCTAGACCGAATCATGTCTGCGTCTCTCTCTTTCTCTGTGTCCGTCTGTCTCACAATGTGAACATGCAGTTTCATTGAGGCGCGCTGTGTTGTTGTTCTCCTCCTGGCGCGGTCTGGGACGTTGTTGTTGTTTTGCTGCCTTTCCCCCAAGCTTGGAATTTAGTGTCGAAAAATTGGCATGAATTATTTACTTCATTACGCAATTTGTCGTCCGCTCCCCCCGGCACCTCCGATTTTAGCACGGTTGGCTACGTTAAGCACATGTACATATACTTTACTTTTAATTTATTCTGTGACTTGCTTAGCCGTCCCATACTTTACACTCTTAAAACAGTTGTTTTTGTTTCGTTTGCTGTTGTAACAACACTGATCCCGTGTCCCACCCCTGTTACTGGACATTTGTGTAAAAAAAATATATATATATATAATGCTTCTCATAAATTAATTCTAGGAATATAAATACAGGGGGCTCCTCTACTTACAAACGAATTAGATTCCAAGAGGTCTGTTCGTAAATGGATTTGTTCCAACTTTACTCCTGTCAATTCCAAACAAGTTGTACGGCATGTACACTAAACACGGGGTATGGCTTTAAAAGTCGTATAATCTCCTGTAGATGTAGATGCCAATGGTTCTTCACGTTCTGCAGATGTAGATGCCACTGGTTCTTCACGTTCTGCAGATATAGATGCAACTGGTTCTTCACGTTCTGTAGATGAAGATGTCAATGGTTATTCACGTTCTGTAGATGTAGATGCCACTGGTTCTTCAAATTCTGCAGATGTAGATGCCAATGGTTTTTCACGTTCTGTAGATGTAGATTCCACTGGTTCTTCACGTTCTGCAGATGTAAATGCCACTTGTTCTTCACGTTCTGTAGATGTAGATGTCACTGGTTCCTCACATTCTGCAGATGTAGATGCCACTGGTTCTTCACGTTCTGCAGATGTAGATACCACTGGTTATTCACGTTCTGCAGATGTAGATGCCACTGGTTCTTCACGTTCTATAGATGTAGATGCCATCACCGTCACCTATTGCGTGGCGGTTGAACTCAAGACCCTCGGTCCGAACAGGCAACTGGACATACGGACCAGGTTTGTTCGTATCTCTGAGAGTTTGTAAGTCGAATGTTCGTAAGTAGATGAGACCCTGTATATAAATATCTATAAATAAACATCAAGTGAAAGAGCTTCACAGCTCTTCGGATTCCCTCCGGTCTACACCAACGATTTCCGAGCGCTGACGATTCCGATGCCTGACCATCGGCGACTTGTCCCGGCGTGCGTGCGTGCATGCGCAGCATGGCGTCCGCAGGGGAGAGCCGCCAGGGGGTGAAGGATGCCGCCGACCAGAACTTTGACTACATGTTCAAGCTGCTCATCATCGGCAACAGCAGCGTGGGCAAGACGTCCTTCCTGTTCCGCTACTCGGACGACACGTTCAGCTCGGCCTTCGTCAGCACCGTGGGCATCGACTTCAAGGTGAAGACCGTCTACCGTAACGACAAGCGCGTCAAGCTGCAGATCTGGGTGAGTGGGGGTGAGAGGGGTGGGGGGGGGGGCAGGGAGAGGGAGGTGGGGGGGGTCAGGGGGGGGGTCAGGGAGGAGGGAGATGCGTGGGGGGAGGGGCGGAGTCACTTGGGGGAGAGAGGGGATGGTGTGATTTTGGAAGGTAGAATGACAGTGGTGGTTGTGGTTCAATGGCAGTGGTGGGATGGTGTGGTGGTGGTGGTGGAGATGGTGATGTGATCGTGGGATCGAGTGACGGTATGGTGGCGATGGTGCCGTGGCGGTGGTGATGGTGCTGTGGTGGTGGCGGTGGTGGTGATGGTGTGCTGGTGGCAGTGGTGGTGATGGCTATCGCGATGGTGGCGGTGATGATGGTGCGACGGTGATGTGCCGATGGGGCGAGCAGGACACCGCCGGGCAGGAGCGCTACCGCACCATCACCACGGCGTACTACCGCGGAGCGATGGGCTTCCTGCTCATGTACGACATCACCAACGAGGACTCCTTCAACGCCGTGCACGACTGGTGAGACAACCCCCCCCCTCTACCACCGGCGCTACCGGAACCGTCACCGCTGCCACCATCACCACCACCACCACCGGCTCTTTCACCGCCAGCACCATCAGCACCGTGAACATCACCGCTACTGGTCCCATCACCACCGTCATCAATGTCGCAAGCTTCAGCACCATCGGCACCAGCACCACCAATAATCCGCCATGAGCTGTAACGTCACTACCGTCGACATTATCACCGTCCTCGCCGCCATCATCATCCCCGCCAACATCATCATCAGCAGCAGCATCATCTTCTTTACACCACCGTGAGGTGTGACGTCACCATTCACATCGGCACCGGCGTCGTCACCGTCGTCACCGTCGTCAGCTGTAAAATCTCCACTGCCGTCACCGCCGCGGCCACCACCACGACCCTGAGCTTTCACGTCACCGCCATCGATGCCCGCGCCACTGACCTGCGTTGTACGGTGCTGGCGTTGACGACGACGCTGATGCCACCATCATTGGAATTGCTGACAACAACATCGATTGATTATGATGATGATGATGGTTGCGTTGCTGATGCTGCTTCTGCTGCTGTTGCTGCTTCTGCTGCTTCTGTTGCTGCATCTTCTGCTACTGCCGTTGCTGCTGTTGCTGCTGCTACTTCTGTTGCTGCTTCTTCTGCTGCTGCTGTTGCTGCTGTTGCTGCTTCTGTTGCTGCTTCTTCTGTTGCTGCTTCTGTTGCTGCTGCTTCTTCTGTTGCTGCTTCTGTTGCTGTTGCTGCTCCTGTTGCTGCTCCTGTTGCTGCTTCTGTTGCTGCATCTGCTCCTACTTATGTTGCTGCTTCTGCTGTTGCTGCTGCTTCTGCTGCTGCTTCTGTTTCTACTTCTGCTTCTGTTGCTTCTGCTGTTGTTGCTGCTGTTGCTGCTGCTGCTTCTACTGCTGCTTCTGCCGCTTCTGCCGCCGTCGCCGCCCTCGCCGATGCCAAACGCCGCCCCGTGCTGCTTGCTTCCGCGACGCACAGGGCGACGCAGATCAAGACGTACTCGTGGGACAACGCCCAGGTCATCCTCGTGGGCAACAAGTGCGACCTGGAGGACGAGCGCGTGATCGCCATGCAGCGCGGCAAGCAGCTGGGCGACCAGCTGGGTTCGTGTTTACCCCTACCCCCCTCGCGCCCCCCCCCCTCCCACGTAGCTCTCTGTTTACGCCCCCTTTTTATCCACTGGGGCACCAAATCCGAGACGCACTGCATTGTTGGGAGACCGCGCCCCCCCGCCCTCCCCGTGAGACGCACTGCATCATGGGTAGGCTGTGCCCCCCTTCCGCCTGTGAGACGCACTGCATCATGGGTAGGCTGTGCCCCCCCCGCCTGTGAGACGCAGTGCATCATGGGTAGGCTTTGCCCCCCTTCCGCCTGTGAGACGCACTGCATCATGGGTAGGCTGTGCCCCCCCCCCCGCCTGTGAGACGCACTGCATCATGGGTAGGCTGTGCCCCCCTTCCACCTGTGAGACGCACTGAATCATGGGTAGGCTGTGCCCCCCCCCCCGCCTGTGAGACGCACTGCATCATGGGTAGGCTGTTCCCCACTTCCTCCTGTGAGACGCACTGCATCATGGGGAGACGGTGCCCCGTGTTGCACTGCGTCAGCCGGCAGCTGTGTCTCAGGTTCTCGCGGCCTTCACATCTTCATTGTCGTCGTCGCCGTCATCAACCACCCGATGTTATCGTCATTAGGGTCCATGTGACCCCCCTGTCACCACCACCACCATTGCTATCATCGTCACTATTGTCACCGCCACCACTGTTGTCACTGCCAACCGTGGCGCGTCATCACCAGGTGACCCCTCGCCACGTCCCCTAAATCCGGCGACATTACAAACGCCGAAATCTTCACCTCTGCGTTTTTTTCTTGACCTCCCAATCCCTCCCACCCCTCTCATCCCTCCCACCCCTCCCATCCCTCCCACCCCTCCCACCCCTCTCATCCCTCCCATCCCTCCCACCCCTCCCACCCCTCCCACCCCTCTCATCCCTCCCACCCCTCCCACCCCTCCCATCCCTCTCATCCCTCCCACCCCTCTCATCCCTCCCCCCCTCCCACCCCTCCCACCCCTCTCATCCCTCCCTTCCCTCCCACCCCTCCCACCCCTCCCACCCCTCTCATCCCTCCCACCCCTCCCACCCCTCCCACCCCTCTCATCCTTCCCACCCTCCCACCCCTCCCACCCCTCTCATCCCTCCCTTCCCTCCCACCCCTCCCACCCCTCCCATCCCTCCCACCCCTCCCATCCCTCCCACCCCTCCCATCCCTCCCACCCCTCTCATCCCTCCCACCCCTCCCACCCCTCTCATCCCTCCCACCCCTCCCACCCCTCCCACCCCTCTCATCCCTCCCTTCCCTCCCACCCCTCCCACCCCTCCCATCCCTCCCACCCCTCCCATCCCTCTCATCCCTCCCACCCCTCTCATCCCTCCCTTCCCTCCCACCCCTCTCATCCCTCCCCCCTCCCATCCCTCCCACCCCTCCCACCCCTTCCTCTCTCTCATCCCTCCCACCCCTCTCATCCCTCCCTTCCCTCCCACCCCTCCCACCCCTCCCACCCCTCCCATCCCTCTCACCCCTCCCATCCCTCCCACCCCTCTCATCCCTCCACCCCTCCCATCCCTCCCATCCCTCCCACCCCTCCACCCCTCCCACCCCTTCCTCTCTCCCCCCCCCCCCCCCCCCACACCGCACGCACCACCGGCGCAGGCTTCGAGTTCTTCGAGACGAGCTCCAAGGACAACATCAACGTGCGGCAGACGTTCGAGCGTCTCGTGGACGTCATCTGCGAGAAGATGGCCGAGAGCCTGGACACCGACCCGGCGCTCGCCAGTGGCAAGAAGAGCACCCAGCTCACGGACACCCCGCCCCGACCCGACTCCAACTGCGCCTGCTAGGGGGGGGGGCCACTGCCCCCCCCTCCACCCGCCCCCCCCCCCGCCACCCGCCACCCGCCCCCCCCGCCACCCGCCCCAGCCGCCCCTCTCCCGATCCCACAACCGCACGCTCGGTCGCGAACGAGGGCGGCGACTCCGTTGAGTTTTTAGTTTTTGACCAGAGGGGGGTCGCCCCGGGGGGGTCGCTCGGGGGTGCGGTGGGGGGTCGCCCCGGGGGGGTCGCTCGGGGGTGGGGGGGGGGGGTTGCCGGGGGTTGCCGGGGGTCGTCGGGAGGGTTGCCGCAGGTTGGGGCTTGGAGACCGGACGAGCGACATGGCGCGTGCGTGCGTGCGTCACGGCGCTCGTGAGCATGTGGCGGGACCGGAGTCTATCCTCCGGGCACGCACGCGGCACGACGCTTACACGCTCGCTACGGATGGCTGATTCGCGCACACTGCACCACACACGCACACACTGCACACACGCACACACTGCACACACGCACACACTGCACCACACACACACTGCACCACACACACACATTGCACCACACACTGCACCACACGCTGCACTAGAGCGCACACTGAATCATACACACAAACACTGGACCACATATACACACACAGTGCACCACACGCACATTGCACCACGCACTGCACCATGCACTGCACCAGAGTGCACACTGAACCACACACACGCACTGAACCACACACACACACGCACTGCACCACACACACACACGCACTGCACCACACACACACGCACTGCACCACACACACGCACTGCACCACACACACACGCACTGCACAACACGCACTGCACCACACACACACACGCGCTGCACCACACACACACACACGCACTGCACCACTCACACGCACTGCACCACACACACACACACACGCACTGCACCACACACACACACGCACTGCACCACACACACTGCACCACACACACACACACTGCACCACACACACACACACTGCACCACACACACACACTGCACCACACACACACACTGCACCACACACACACACACTGCACCACACACACACACACTGCACCACACACACACACACACTGCACCACACACACACACTGCACCACACACACACACTGCACCACACACGCACTGCACCACACACACACACGCACTGCACCACACACACACACACTGCACCACACACACACGCACTGCACCACACACACACACTGCACCACACACACCACACACACGCACTGCACCACACACACACACTGCACCACACACACGCACTGCACCACACACACACACACACTGCACCACACACACCACACACACACACTGCACCATACACACACACACTGCACCACACACACACTGCACCACACACACACACTGCACCACACACTGCACCACACACACACTGCACCATACACACACACACACCACACACACACACTGCACCACACACACACACCACACACACACGCACTGCACCGCCGCACTGCACCCCTGCACACATCGCTTGCGAAATGCACGACGGCAGGCGGCAGGCAGGCGGAGGGAGCAAATAGTTGTGCACTGTGTGCCACCACTGTGTGCCACCACTGTCCACGGCATGGGGGGGGGGAGCAGGGAGGGAGGCGGAGGGACTGGGGGTGGGGGGTAGAGGTTCGCTCGCTCGGTGCTTCTCCATTGCAAGGCCACCACTGGGGGCCACCGGGCGGCCCCCGGGGGCCACCGGGCGGCCCCCGGGGGCCACCGGGCGGCCCCCGGGGGCCACCGGGCGGCCCCCGGGGGCCACCGGGCGGCCCCCGGGGGCCCGTTAAACTGCGGCCCACGCGAGCAAAAACGCAAATAGTGACACCCCCCTCCCCCCCCCCCGTCGTCATCATCGTCATCATCATCGTCGTGGTGCCGCTGTCGAACCTCACCGGTGGCTACAGAGTGGCGTGGCAGGGCGCACGCGCGACGCCTTATCGGCGAAAGTGCCCCGCTCCACCTTCCCCCTGAAGAACACCGCCGGGTTGGAGAGACGTTGGCGAGGGTACCGGGAGAGATGGGGAGTGGGGGGGGGGTGGAAGGGGGAGGGGGGAGATGGGGGGGGCGAGGTGGGCGGCACGAGGGGGGTGGGGGGAGTCGGCGAGCTGCACGGCGGCTGGCGTGGTGAGACGCACGGAGGATGAGGAGGGAGATATGAGGAGGGAGATATGAGGAGGGAGATATGAGGAGGGAGATATGAGGAGGGAGGGAGCTGGAGGATGAGGAGGGAGATGACGGAGCTGAGGAGGGAGATATGAGGAGGGAGATATGAGGAGGGAGGGAGCTGGAGGATGAGGAGGGAGATGACGGAGCTGAGGAGGGAGATATGAGGAGGGAGATATGAGGAGGGAGGGAGCAGAGGGACGAGGAGGGAGATGATGCGTGCTGCTGCTGTCAGCTCTGCTCAATTCCCACGCAGCCAAACACCGTAGCTGCACGGACTTGACAGCTACCCACCACCCCCCCCCTCGCTGTAGTGACAGGGAGAGGAGGAGAGCGGGGAGAGAGAGAGAGAGAGGAAAGGAGAGGGAGGGAGATTGGGGAGAGGCAGGGCAAGGGAGCGCTTGAGTGGAGGGCGATGACATTTTGAATGGCTTAGCCAAAAAAAGATAATTCCCCTTCGTCTGCCAACGCCAACTATTTTCGCTCGCTAAAAATAACGCGACAGGGACGAGGAGCAGTTTTAATCTCATCCGGCTGTGGGGGGGGGCTGTGGCGACGCTCGCGGGGGGGGGGGGCGGGCGGGGGGGGGGGCGAGGTTCGGGGGGGGTTGGTGGATCGCGCAGAGACTGCGAGGCGACTTAAGAGCGCGGGGACCGCTTCGCAGCGTGAGCGCTCCTTTTGCCGTACGTCGTCCGCTCGAGAACGATCCGCTAGCCGCTTGCCGCGGGCGAGGCGGGAACCGGAACGGGCGCCCGGTCTGCCTACAAAAAACTAACGACAGCCACCAAAAGAAAACGGCGCCTCCGATGTAAACACGGTCGGCTACGTGCGGGGCGAAAGAAGTTCGGCGGGCACCTTGCATACAGGCGAGAGTAGAAGTAAAAAAAACGTTTTTGAATTCTCGTCGAATTTCGAATCGATGAAATGTACAAGTTCCTCTCCCTGCTCGGTGCAATCCAGCAACCCGCAGTAGTTCCCTTCCAGCGCCAACCCTCGCCTCAAGATCTCACCCCTCGGCTCGGCTCGCCTCGGCTCGGCTCTACATTCGTATCATCTCGGTTGTGTCGGGTTTTTGTTTTTATCTCAATCGTTTCATCTCTTTTTTTTGTGCAGTTCTGCTCGCTCCCCAAGTCAGCCTTAACGTGGCATCAGCATATCGTGACGTTGGCATATCCGAATCGGAAAAAAACTTCTTTTTTAAACCGCTTTTTTGCATTGAGTTTGCTGCCCTTCCGACCGCAACAACCTCCGACTTGCCCGCGGTCGGCTGCGTACGGTGCGGAAGAAGCTCGGCGTGCGCCGTACGTACCCACGCGCCGCCTGCATATCGCGAGCGTAACAGCTCGCATGTAAAGTCGCCGTAGGTTTACGTTGTGCGCGCGCGTGCGCTTTGATTTGCTTTCCTCCGAGCGAAAGTATCGATGCCTCCATCGGCGAATCGGCTTCCATTGCAATTGGCCTCTCCTCGTCATTTCTAGGCAGAGTCCAAATCTCTCCCCTCCACCTCCCTCCCTCGCTCTCTCTGTCCCGTCTCCTCCCTCCCTACAGAGTCCGAGTAGCGATAGACAGACCGCTCCCCCTCTCCCCTCTTCCATCTCTCCCTCTCTCCACTCGCCTCCTTCCCTGCCTCCTCTCCCCTCCACCTCCCTCCCTCGCCCTCTCTGTCCCGTCTCCTCCCTCCCTACAGAGTCCGAGTAGCGATAGACAGACCGCTCTCCCTCTCCCCTCTTCCATCTCTCCCTCTCTCCACTCGCCTCCGTCCCTGCCTCCTCTCCCTCTCTCTCCCTCCCGTCCCTCTAGGACTCGAAATCCGAAAAGCGTTTAAAATCAAAGGCAATCCCCCAACGCATCCCAAATCACAAACCCCCCACCCACCCAACATTCCCCCCCCCCACCTTCCCCCCCCCCACCTTCCCCCCCCCCCCCACCTCCCCCCCCCACATTCCCCCCCCACCTTCCCCCCCCCCACCTTCTGTTGCGGCCGCTTACGCGCTCATGTGCGCGTCTTGCGTCCACACGCGCGCGTGTAGGTTGTGAAGTTTGTTAGGGTATATCATGTGACATAACTTAATCTTGGTGGACGTGCTGTGTGATGTGTGTGTGTGTGCGCGCGCACGCGTATGTACGCGCGCACACGTGTGCGCGTGTTTATACGTGGAACACGCCCTGTGCCCCCTCCCCTTTACTCATGGCTGTATTACTGTACCTTGACATAGGTGGTGCTGATAGTGGGTGGTGGTGATGGTGGTGGTAGTGCAACGGTGCTTACGGTGGCTACTGCACCGGCGACCCGAGTTCGATTCCCGCTCGCGGCACGACCAACAACACCGGGCGACGATTATCTGAAACCGGTCCTGGGCATGGCCCCACCTACGTCGGTTCGGGCCTTAAGCGAGTGCCTGGCGTAGCGGTGTGTGGTGAACGTCGCCGCATGGGGGGGAGGTGGGGGCGCGGTAGCTGGCCACCCCCACCCCCTCTTCGTGTGCCACGGTGCCGGCCTTCATAGGGTAGTGCTGCTACTCGTCAACAGCCACTTGCCCCTACAGTCTGTTAGATGCTACACGGGGGTGGGGGGGGTATTTGTCTTTTTGGCGGTGGTGCGTGTGGTGTGGTGTGGGGGTTGGGGGCGGTTACGATACCGGCAATCCAGGTTCGATTCCTGGTCCCAGCGTACAACAACGTCATCGCCACCAGCACCAGCGACAGCGGCAACGGCGGCCAAAATTGGTTTTGGAAACCTGGCATGGGCCTCCCCTAGGTCGACTCGGCCGCAAGTCCGCGAGCACCCGACCTGGTGAATGTTTGAGACGATGTTAGCCGGGCGACCCCCCTCTCTGTGTGTGTCGGAAGCACCACG